TTATTATCATTGAGATTTTAAAAATCGAACATGATAATTATTGAGTTTCTTTTATTATTCTCTAGAAGTCCTATCGACCTCATGTCAACCGCGACCCTACTTCGTCACGTTGTGCCCGCTGCCCTCTTATTAATAGTCATTGGGATTTAAAAAAAATCAAACCTAATTGTCATTGAGCATTTGTTTTTAGATTAGATGTGCCATCAACCGTCGCAACCCTACTCCTTTCCGGCTTACCCGTTGTCCCCTCATTATTGTTACTTTTCACATTTAGGTTATATATGAACTTTTTAAATATTTTTATTATGAACTTTTATTATTTTAAAATTATATTCCAACATTAACTCTCATTTTTTTTATTCTAAAAAATGGGGATTTATTTTATTTTTATCCTGAATTTTAAATAATCTTGTATTGTACTCTACATCGACTGTTCTTTCATCACTTATTTTTATTACGGTTTTTTTATTTCTAAATTTTATTCCTACTAGAACTCTCTCTCTTTTTTTCTTATTTCAACATTTATTTTATTTTTATTATAATTAATTTTGTGTTGGATTCTTAAATGGTCTCTTCTATTTATATTCCTTATTTATATTCTGATTTTTAGTATTTATAAATTATATTAATACTTGAACTCTTATTTTTTTAATTTTTCTAATTTTGAAAATTATTTTATTTTTTTATTTTAATTAATCTGGTATTGTGTTCTACATGGAGTATTCTTTTTAATATTTCTTATTTTTCGTTATGAATGTCTCTTATTTCACAATTGTATTCGTACATGAACTCAGTTTTTCTATTTTTTATAAATTCGGAATTTATTTTACTTTTTATTCTTAATTTTTATTAGTCTCGTTCTACATGCATCGTCCTGTCAATACTGGTTGTTTTTCATTTTGAATTTCAGTTATTTTTATTTTCAAATTGTGTATTCCTAATAATTGAACCCTAAATTACCTTTTACCTAATTAATGTGGGTGGCCTCTCGCTCGCCCCTCCCTCTCCTGTCATCTCCTGTGTGATTTATTTTGTGATTTTCGATTGGATTGTCTCTTGTCCTGTGATTTATTTTAGGATGATTTTGATTGGATTGAGATTTAGTTTTGGTTAGATTTGTGATGATTTGAGATTAAGTTCTTAGCTCAAAGCATCAGCTCGAATTGAGCCAATGCATCTCAAGGGTGTCGGTTATGGAACAGGCACCAATGACCTAAGGTCTTAATTTATTTGTAATGATAAAAAATCACAATAAATAAATGATAATTATATATATTTTTAATAAGATGAATGGTAAAACATATGTTTAAAATCAACCGCAACCAACATTGAAAAATCGGAGGGAGTATTATATATGTATATGTGAAATAATTGCATCTTGAATATTTTTTTTCGCATATTTACAAGCACACAGAATATCATTTGAGGTATTGCTGTAAAACATGTCCGACATCTCTAACTCCTGTTTTAGGAGACTAATACGAGAAGATGATTCGTAGTCGTAAAAGTGAGTCATGACTAAGACACGATCAGCAATTGCCTGTCAAAGTTCACACACTATAGCAAGCTAGCTGGTAGTATTATTTGTAGCTTTGTGTGTGTAACCACGCGCGTGTTGATGTGGAAGCATGTCTTCATTAGTCGGCAGGGTGTGATTCGTAATTTAAGTTAAAATGTAAATGTTTTCATTGGTATTTTTCGGTTGACTTGGCTAATAATTAAGATTAGGTCTACACTTGCAACTTTATAAGGACATAAGGTCATGTTGACATGTTCATCGTCGAAGATATATATATTATTTGATTCATCGCCTATTAGCGAGCTTAGTGTCTTCTCCACACTTGAGCTAGTTAACACGCTTACACACTTGCAACGCCAAGTGGACTTGTTGAATGGTATTGGACTTCTGCCTGATTATGTATCATGCTTGAGGTAAATTTACGCCCTATTTAGTCGAGCTTCAGATTTCGGGAAGCAACTAGCTAGTTGAGAATCAAGAAAAGGCTGAGTTGTTCAGCTTCTGGCTTTTCGATTATTACCTGGTTCATACAATTATAAATTCTATAATTCTCAAAATCACTACTAAAAAACATATTTTTTTTCTGTTGGCTAAAACATATTTTTCTTGGCAGCTAGACGTTCCGCCAACTTTAACGGTCAGTGAAAATCAATGATCTTCATTGACAGCATCCAACCACCAGTGAAAATGATTTTTGCTGACATGTGACATAACACATACACCAACGAAAATTGATTTCCACTTTATCATTTTGATTTTTCCGGTGCGAAAATAAAATGAAAAAAATATTTTGATTTTTATCGGGTATCTATAACACAACTACACATCCTAATTGACAATTTAGGCATTTTTGGGATTAAATTCACAAATGTGTGGTTTGTAGTATTCGATCTCAAGTCCTTTCTCTACACACATATATATTACATTACCATCTCAACTATGAAGCACTTATTTTGTATATTCAGAATGCTATTAATTGTTTTGATTTCCATTGTTTAAAACTTAAAATACTTATTTGCCTCTCTAAATAATTCCAAATGAAAACATGTCATGAACTACAAAGTTGTAGATCTCGTTGAGCTCAACTTTGACAAGGATCATGTGTCCATTAGAGATTATTTGAATCATATATCTGAAATTTTGTAAAATATATTTTGAATCTTAAAACGAATATTTTGAACTCTAAATAACCTCAAACATAAAAGTTTTCAACTAAACTTTATTTTCATTTGACTTTTTATGAAAAATTTAGGTAAAAGTACATATTTTTATAAAATTGATTTTCACCGGTGGACAACTTAATCATCGATTTTCACTGGTAGATGCGTATGTCATCTACCAGTAAAGATTATGTGGTTTTCATTGGTAAAAATAAACGTTATTTTCACTGGCGGCACTATTTTTAGTTTATCTGAAAATATAAAAGAAAAGTGCCATGAAAAATCATTTTTTTAGTAGTGAATCTAGGTTAGAATCTGGATTGTTTGAGTGAGTTGGAAATTCTGAAAGAGGAGCAGCAGCTGTCAGAATCTCCCTGCTTAAGTAAGGATTTGGGACTTGTTTGGGGAGCTTATGGTAGCTGTAGATTCTCCGAGAACAAAAAGCTACCCAAATGGTTTTTTTTTCATCCAGATTATAATTTAGATGTGCTATCTTTTACTCCCTCCATCCCATAATATAAGGGATTTTGAGTTTTTGTTTGCTCTGTTTAACCACTCGTCTTATTAATTTTTTTTTGGAATTATTATTTTTTTTGTTACTTTATTATCCAAAGTACTTTAAGCACAATTTTTTATTTTTTTTATTTGCATAAATTTTTTTTAATAAGACGAGTGGTCTCGCTTGGGTTATAACTTAGATGACATTTTAAGTGCTAATTAATTATTGTGAGTTCATGTCACTATGATTGGATTAGACTAATAAATAGATCCGTCAAATTTTTACATACATCACCGTTAGTTAGATATAGGTGACCAAAACTAGCTGCGGATTGAATGACTTAATTAGGTACATAGTACAGCAAAACTGTGTACTAATGGGTTAATTACCGACTAGTTCCTTCTAATTGGTGTAGTACGAAGAAAGGTCACGGTGCAAATAGATATGCCCAAATCAATATGTTTGAATAGTGCATTGTTTAATTTAACATGAAACTTGTGTCAAATAATACAAAAATTTGACTTCAAACAAGCTAAGTCTGTTGTGTGTCGTCTCTGGTGTGGATTCACTATATTATATTAGTAGTGGCAAAAGAAAATCATATGCTAAGAAATTAAAGGTAAACCGGTGTGCAATCTCATTTTGGGCTGAAATGTTAGCCCCAGCGGAAATTTATATATATCATCCAACATTCAGATTCATAAACCACTTCAATCATCATGTCGAACTTTAATTAAAATTCGGTGAACATTGAATAAAAAATTCGACATAGCCAAGTGATTTAGGGCTCCAAATTAATTTGGAATGACATATAAAATTCGAATAAATTTGTGACGTAATAGAACATTACATGTACGATGATATTTGAACAAATGTGCGAGTCTAAAAAGGCTATATATGATGTACTTCCTCCGTAAAAAATACCTAACCTAGGAGGGGGAATACAATGAATCTAGACAAATGATTGTCCAGATTCATTTTATGTCGCATCCCCTTTCAAGTTGAGTTTTTTTTATGGAGAGACTAGGATATAATCTAACCACGCGTTCAAAATTTAGTTACTTGTGTAGTATAAATGAATTGCTAGTACAACTAAAAGGGGAACCTGTCACATTTGAATCATGCGATGTTTTAAAATGGAATCCATTGATAACTATTCATCTTTTTTTATAATCCAATAGTTTATTCTATTTATACTACACCTCAACTCAAATCAATAGCATGAATAATATTTTTTCCTAGCAATAGTACATACTCCCTCTGTCGATAAAAAGACAACCTAGCTATATATGATATGATGCATGGGATGTGTTTTATAGAACAACAAAGACGGTTCAGATTCATTATATTAGAAAATATCCAATCCATATCCCATCCTATCAAATGTTGGGCTTTTTTTTTACGGGGGAGTACGTAGAACTCATAATCAATGGTCCATGTACTTCTATTGATATAACTCCATCCGTCCTAAAATATAATCAATTGAATTTGGACATATTTATCCAGTTTCATAGCTAGAATTTAATGCTTATATTTTGGGACGGATGTCCAGATTTATAGCTAGAAATGATTATATTTTGGAACGGAGGGAGTAATATATACCACCCGAGATTACCATTAAGATACCTATATATACATTTAAATATGTCTAAACGAAAAGATATAGGCCGGGACCTATAATTTACTTTTTACGGTGCCAAACTTTCAAGTTAAACATATATATACAACATGCAAATTAATTAATCTAGTCGTTGTTGTTTAACGACATGCAGGCAGGCTATAAATAGAGCGCTTCTCATAGTTGCTGAGCAGCCATAGCGAACTAGCTAGCTAGCTCATCCATGGCGGCCCGCCCGGCGCTCGCTCGCCTCGACGTCTCGACGGTGGCCGCCGGCGCCGGCAAGCAGCAGCTTGTGCACGCTCGCCGCCGCCGCCGCCCGGCTCACGCTCACCGCCTCCCCGTCCCTGGCGCCGGCAGCGCGATTCGTCTAGCCTGTTCTTCTCCATTCCTGGGCGGCAGCAACGGTAGCCGCAGTCTCAAGCACAACGCGGCCGCGGGCGAGAAGTCCGCCGCCGACCACGCCGCCGGAGCCCTAGAAGACGAGCTGATCCAGAAGGAGAACTCCGGCGGCGACGCTGCCGCCGGTGCCTCTCCTCCGTCATCCTGCGACAACCACGGTGCTCCAGTAAGTCAATGCAATGTATTTACTCATATATATACTATCATGAGAATATAATATTATATACGATAGCATATGCGTTCTATTAAATATAACAAAATTATATTTAATATAAATTATAACAGTAGTGTGTATACATAAATTAAGTTATATATACTAGAACAAGCTTGCAAAATACAATAAATTTATGCAATTATATATAATAGTATTTTTTTAGACAAAGAGTATATGTTTGCTACTATTGTTTTGTCCGTAAAGTAAGCGTTTGAGAAATTATCGATGCCAGAAATATAAAAGTTTGACTGACTCTATGGGGTAAAAGCCAAATATTTACATGGGAGGAAGAAGTAATTGACGAGCAACTTAATTAGTTGCTCATGTTTCATATAGTTACTCGCTCATGTTTCATGTCAGTTTGACTTTTTTCTTAGTAAAAGTTTTTTATATTTGGCTAAATTTATAATTCCTTTGTCTAAAATATAAGCATATTTGGACTCAAGATGCTACTTTGACTAATAATATCTATAAAAGTAAGATATTTTTTAAAAAAGTTGCATATTCTGATAGATTGTTTAATAATAAATATAGTAGCATCAATTTTACTTGATTGATCTTTTTTAATTGGTTTTTTATTAATAGTCAAAGTTAAAAATATTTGACTTGTCACTATGCTAAAAAAATTTATATTTTGGGATGGATGGAGTAGAAAAAAAGCAACATCTACAGCACTAAATTAGTTTTATATATTAAATTTAACATTAAATATATTTTGATAACATGTTTGTTTTGTATTGCAAATACTACTATATTTGCCTATAAACTTGGTTAAACTTAAATATGTTTAACAAGAAAAAAGGTCAAACGACAATACTATGAATCGAAAAGAGTAATTAGTTACCTATGATTTGATTGTTGCAGCAGCAAATAGAGGTGACGGCTGATACTAACGACGGTGATAAGGAGAAGACGAATGGTCCGGCACGAGATGTACACATCAAAGCTAAACTATTAGGGTACAATCTGGAGCCAGGAAGCGGCCCACATTACAACCATTTAGGCCCTGTTTAATTCCCAAAACAAAATTTTTCACACTGTTACATCGAATATTTGGACACATGCGTAGAGTATTAAATGTAGAAAAAAAATCAATTACACAGATTGCATGTAAATTATGAGACGAATCTTTTAAGCCTGATTGCGTCATGATTTGACAATGTGGTGCTACAGTAAATATTTGCTAATGATGGATTAATTAGGCTTAATAAATTCGTCAGTTTCCTAGCGGGGTCTGTAATTTGTTTTGTTATTAGACTACGTTTAATACTTCAAATATGTGTCCGTATATCCGATGTGACAACCAAACCTAAAACTTTTCTCCAACTAAATAAGGCCTAAGTGTCATCTATATGTGGAGCTCCCTCCACCCTAAATAAAACCTAATTCTAGCCAATAAACCTGGACAAATATATACTCCCTCCGTTTCAAAATGTTTGACGTCGTTTACTTTTTTAAACATATTTGACCGTTCGTCTTATTTAAAAAATTTAAGTAATTATTAATTCTTTTCCTATCATTTGATTCATTGTTAAATATATTTTTATGTAGGCATATAATTTTACATATTTCACAAAAGTTTTTGAATAAGACAAACGGTCAAATATGTGCTCATCTCAAAACGGAGGGAGTATGATATCGGACATTGTCTAGGATATATGCTATGTATTGTAGCACCACTTATTATTGTAAGGTTGGTATTCGTGTTTTCCATGTGTCAGTGATACATTGTAATTAAATTACTGGAAATATATATATATATATATATATATATATATATATATATATATATATATATATATATATATATATATATATATATATATATGGGGGCTTCTAATACGCGCGCACGCGCCGAAAGATCAAGTCGCGCGCGCGTAGAAATTGGTAGTTCGATGTTTTTTTTTTCGTGAGTTTCCTGTTTTGGTTAGCGAGAAAAAAGAATTCAATTAACCCGTGTACGATGCCCCCACGTGCTGACACTAATCATGTGATTAGTGTTAATCACAAGATTAGTTAGTGCTAATAAATACTCCCTCCCGTATTTTAATGTATGACGCCGTTGACTTTTTAACCAACGTTTGACCATTCGTTTTATTCCAAATTTTTGCGCAAATATGAAAATATTTATGTTATGCTTAAAGAACATTTGATGATGAATTAAGTCACAATAAAATAAATAATAAATACATAATTTTTTTTTAATAAGACAAATGGTCAAACGATGGATAAAAGGTCAACGGCGTCATACATTAAAATATGGAGGAAATAGTTAACATGAGGTTTTAAATTTTAAATTCTGAGTTGAAACTTTTGAATTTTGGAATTGAAAGTTTTGAATTTTGGACTTGAAAGTTTTAAAATTTGGAATTGGAAGTTTTAAAATTTTGGAGTTGAAAGTTTTTGAAAATTTAAGTTGAAAGTTTTTAAATTTAGATTGAAAGTTTTAAAAATTTGAGTTGAAAGTTTTAAAAAACGAATTGGAATTTTTGAATTTTGGAGCTCAAAGTTTTTGAAATTTTAAGTTGAAAGTTTTCACATTTAGGTTGAAAGTTTTAAAAATTTTGAGTTGAAATTTTCAAGCTTTGAGTTGAAAGTTTTAAAAAACGGGTTGAAAGATTTCATATATGAGTGCTGACGTTAATCGCGGCACCTAATTAAAAAAACAAAAATTAGAACTATTAATAATGAATTACTAGCCTTAATCACGCAGTAATCATGCTTCAACAGTTTCAAATCAAACGATTTGCCTCACCTCGCGTTAACTACTCCTAGCACATTATCTAAAAAACTACTCCTAGCACGTGCATGTGGCGGCGTGGTCGGACAAAAAAAAAAGACCACCTATACATTTGTCGACAAATTTTCTCCTAAAAATTTGACAGATGTAATTATAGTACAAACGTAGTGTAATTACTATAATTACACTGTAACTTGCATGTAACTACAGTGTAACTTATATGTAAGTTTCATATAATTTTGAATCGTTAGATATATTACAAGATTTGTTTTGGTGAGGACGAAAACAAATCATAGCACACACATATGTGAAAGAATTTGTTCCCACGACCTCCATTTTACTGAAATAACATGTTACGGAGAGATTTTTGAAAGTTACATATAAGTTACATTATAGTTTGTGAAATCAGTCATGATTAATATTTGCGATGAACAATTGGCTATGCAAATGATTTAATCAATGAATTAGTTTGAGAGCCATTGTCATGGATGGAAGTATATATATGCATGGCATAAATGGATCGAAATATCCTAGATAGCGTTAAACATGTTGTGTAGTACTCCTCTAGTATAAAACATCTTTCTTTTTTACATATGTAAATCCTCTTTTGTCAGAATATAATATAATAGCACGGGTTATTATCGATGTGAAAGCATGCATTCGATCGACAAGAGGAAATTAAATCAGTGAAGTACGCTAAATTCTTGTTCAGCAGCTTCTTCTAGGCCACCATGGCTCCATCGGTCAGTAGGCCAGGCCAGCTATGTGGCTCAGCCTAAGGGCATGTTTGGAAAACAGGGACTTTAAGTCCCTGTCACATCGGATATTTATACACTAATTTAGAGTATTAAACATACACTAATTATAAAACCTATTCTATAACCTTGGACTAATTCGCGAGACGAATCTTTTGAGTCTAATTACACTATAATTTGACAATGTGATGCTACAGTAAACTTTTCATAATTATGGATTAATTAGGCTTAAAAAATTCGTTTCGCAGATTAGCTTTCATTTATGAAATTAGTTTTTTTTATTAGTCTATGTTTAATACTCCAAATTAACGTCAAACATTCGATGTGACGGGATTTAGGGGGTGTTTTAGCCTCATCTAAACACCCCCTAAATCCCGTACATATGTGCATTCTGGGCTTCTGTCCATGACTTGGGATGGCGGTGGCGTGGGTAACTGGCGCAGCCGTGACACCTCCCTGTGCCTTATGGTAGGCACAAATAGAAGGTTTAAGAGGAGAAAAAAAAGTATGTAAAATAATGTGAGCAACTATCATATGATTAATTTAGTATTAATTATTTAAAATTTTAAAAATAAATTAATATTATTTTTAGAGCAACATTCTTATGGCTTTTCTAAAAACATATTATTAGTAGTTCAGGAAATGTGTGTACAGAAATCGAAGACTCTCATTTGTTGTTCAAACGACCCTAAGTCACGAAGACTCTCATTTGTTGTTCAAACGAACGCACACCCTAAGTCTCTAATGGGGACCACATCATGACGGGGTCTGTCAAGGAGGCACGCTTAGGGCTAGGGGTAGAGATGGCAACAGGAAATTTTCCATCAGAGGTTGCTCCCTGCATCCTCGCCAATGTGAGGTTCAAATTTCACCGACCCTGTCCCAACCAATCATGATAGGGATAAAACTTTTACCATCCCCATCCTCATACGGTGAATTAATCCCCGTGAATCCCCCCTTCCCGCATAAAACAAACAGATGCTTTTAAAATCATATGCTCTATAATACATAACAAATCATCCACACACCATATCAATATATCAACATATATCCCGTTATCCCCTGAAACAAACCATTGCGAATTTACCATTCATAAAAGTTTACAAGGACCACACCACAGAATCACATACTTCCCCATCCCAAAATATAGATATTTTTTAGGTTGGCACGAGTATTAAGAAAGTAGATGAGAATAATTGAAGAAAAGGGTGTGATTGGTTGAAAAAAGAAAGTAGGTGAAGGAGAATGGTTGTGATTGGTTGAGAGGATGAGGTATAGGTGGAGACATAGCTTCATTTTGGGACAAGTTACTGTGTTAGAAATAGCTACATTCTGATACGAAGATAGTATATTTAGATTAGATGTCCCATCAACCACCGTGACCCTACTCTTTTATGTTTTGCCTGATAACCCCTCTTTATTATCATATGCAATATTTATGTTTTTTGATGAATTGTTTACTAATATTCCTTATTTTTATTCTGAACTTTTATTATTCTAAATTGTATTCCAAAACTTGATATCTCATTTATTTTTTCTCTTTTTAAAAAATTTGGAATCTATTTTTTAAGATATATTTAATCATTTGCCACTTTTAAATGTGACAATTAATTATTTGTTACTAGACTTACTTGTCATAGACACAAGAGAAACCACATGGCATTGGCATATGGGTAGTGAATGGTTAAACGCTAAATCTAAATGTGGCAAATAGTTAAATGCCCTATTTTTATTTAGAATTTTAAATAATCTTGTATTGTGTTCTACATTGACTTTTTTATTTTTTTCATTTTGAATTTTAATTATTTCTAAATTATATTTTTATATGAACTCTCTTTTTTTTTCTAATGTCAGCATTTATTTTAAATTTTAATTAATCTTGTGTTGTGTTCCAAATGGTTTCTTCTTTGTACATTCCTTAGTTTTATTTTGATTTTAGTTATTTCTAAATTATATTCCTACATGAACATTTATTTTTCCCTAATTTCAAATTTAATTTAATTTTTTATTTAAAATTTTAATTAATATCGTAATGCGTTCCTCGTGACTATTCTTTTAATATTTTTTATTTTTATTACGAATTTAAGATATTTTTCAACTTTATTTGTACTTGAACTCTATTTTTTATTTTTCTAATTGCGGACTTTATTTTTTTATGAATTTTATTAATCTCGTTTGGTGTTCTACATGCATCGTTCTTTTAATATTGATTATTTTTTATTCTGAATTTCAATTATTATTAAATTATATATCTAATTGAATTCTAATTTTTCTTATTCTCTGGTTAATATGGAAATGTCTAATCTCCACGGTGAAAGTGATGCCTCGTGTTATTCATGTATTAATAATAAAATAGATGATAAAACAAATATAGTTTTTCTTTACTAATGAAACTTTTTGTTATATATAAAAGATGAACCAAATGTATATATGTGGCACTTTATATGCCAAACAACAATCTTCACATGTTAGATTTACAAAATTATCCGTCATGGCCAATTCACTCGACAATCGTTGGTCAAAGTTTTGACTACACTAGCTTAGAATTTCAAAAAAAAAAAAAGACTACACTAGCTTAGTATCGCAGTTGTACGCATCCGTGTGCGCGTTGATGTGAAAACTTCTCCAAGTCAGCAAGTGTGTACACTACATTCAACTTAGAAAGCAAACATATGTATATATGTTGGTATTTGTTTTTTCGTTGACTTAATTAACAAATGTTAGATACCGTCTACATTCATCTAAAAAAGAAGAGAAATACCGTCTACAAACCTTGCAAACACTACAAGGGCGTCAAACCTAACTCCTCACTACTTAAAAAAACTATTTTTTACCCCTGTAGGTTGTAGGTGAACGGTAACTGGTCACATCTACAAAAATCGATATTTTTACATCCGACTCCTTAAGAGACCCGTATAAAAAATCTATTTTCGTAAGCAGACCTTTTAAGGAGCCACATGCAAAAATAAGTCTATTTGCGCATGCGTCCTCTTAAGGGGCCACATGTGAAAATATATTTTCTCATGCGGGCCTCTTAACTAGTCCACATGCGAAAATATCTTCTTATTCTCCATAGTATTTTTTCCCTCATCTATCTTTCCCTCCTCACCAAATTCAATTTTTTTCCACCACCTCTCTCATCCCTCTCCTTCTAATATTTTCCTCTCCCCCCTCTCTCTCTTCTCTTCTCCTCTCCTCTTTCCTCTCCTCTCCACCACCAAGCGAGAGCGAGCGGCAGTGGTGGTGGTTGCGGGCAGATCCACCGCCCACGACCACGGGAGTAGCGGCAGTGGCGGGGGCGAGCAGATCCGTCGCCTCCACCCTCGGGAGCGACGGCGGCGGGTAGATCGGCAGGTGGTGGACGGCAACAATGGGGACAGGCAGGTCCACCGTCCCAGCTCTCGGGAGCGGCGGCAGCGGGCGGATCTGCCACTCCCGCCTTCGGGATTGGCAACAGCGGACAGGCAGCGGCTGAAGCGGCCAGCCGGCAGGCTAGTGTTTGGGTTTTTTTTTTGAAATCTTTTTTTGTCGAATTTATTTCCGCATGCAGTTGGTATTGGTGACCGCATGCAAAAATTGAGATTTTCGCTTGCGGTTGTGCTGGTCGCATGTGAAATTGGCCGCATGTAAAAATGGTTTTTTATACTGCCTTGAACATGATAGTACTCCCTCCGTATTTTAATGTATAACGTCGTTGACTTTTCGAACAACATTTGACCATTCGTCTTATTTAAAATTTTTGTGTAAATACAAAAATATTTATGCCATACTTAAATAATATTTGATGATAAATCAAGTGATAATAAAATAAATGATAATTACATAACTTTTTTTTGAATAAAACGAATGGTCAAACATTGATAACAAGTCAACGGCCGTCATATATTAAAATAATTAAAATACGGATGGAGTATATTTTTGTGTTATATCATATCCCTGTTAGCGAGTGCGCTCTCCCATTTCTTTTTATTTTAAGACGTGTTTACACTTGGAACGCCAACTTGAATTGCTGAATTGTACTAATCTTTGCCTGATTATAAGAAAAAGGGATGTAGCTGGTTCAAATCGATGTGCTATTCTTGCTTTTTTTTTCCTCTTTTTTAGTACAACGCAGACGCTCATAACGCATGCGTACTCACCCCTATAAACACACACATGCAAACCCTACCCCTATAAACATCTTCAAAGACTGGGCCGGCAAATCTTCCTGGAGAGATTGACGAAGTCACCACAGGTGCCTCGCTATCGAAGGGTACGTCGCCTACCACTGAAAGCACAACGCCGTTAAATCCTAGAAAATTCGCTCCTATGGAGAGTCGAACCTAGGACCTTAGATGCTACGGAGGCTCTTGTAACCACTAGGCTATAGGCTCTTTCGCTTTTTTTCCTCATTTTGAAAATGGTAGTCATGGTTTTGATATATTCTCTTGTGTTAGATAGCCTAAGAACGACTTAATTTGGTGAGCTCTTGCCACTATGATTATTCACACTACTAAAAAATGATTTTTCTATACGAGAACCCAGATTACAAGCGAACCGTAACTACTTGCGTTTGCAAAAATCGAGCTCTATTTTCGCATATGGCTCATTAAGAGACTCGCATGCAGAAATCCATTTTCCCATGTGGTACTCTTAAAGAGCGGCATGTAAAAATGAGCCTATTTTTCCATGCGGTAATCTTAAGGGGCCGCATGACCTCTTAAATGGTCCGTATGCAAAAATATCCCTCCTCTTTTACATAGATATTTTAGCCAAATGCGAAAATCATTTTTTATAGTGATAAGTGCCCTTGCAGCAAAAAATAAAATCTTTATACCACACCAATAAGTAATTACACCTTCAGGTATTGATTATCTCTAAGGGAAACCCATCATATGTTCCATCCATGACGTGCATGAGACCCACTCAGGTTGATGAAAAAAGGGCCCGAAATATCCATCATCTAACTCTCCGCCACCGAACATGAAAAAAATAACATATGTAATTTGGATTTCCTATCGCAAACGCACGAGCATCTTTGCTATTCTTAAAAGAAAGAGATCGAAACGAGAGACATGAAAGGAAAAGGTTCACTTGAGGTTCTTTGTCATCGAGTTTCAAAATTGTCCTTGAACTAAAATACCAGATATAACATATCCCTAATCTTATAAAAGCAGGTCACATTAGGTCCCAAGGAAATATTGCTCCCCAGTTTTGGTGACGTGGTGGCTGAGTCAACGTGGGGCCCATGTGGGTTCCACATGTCAACCGATAATCTTCTCCCACCTATCTCCCCTTTCTTCCTGTCTCAACCCAAACCTCCTAGGCAGCCGACAACAGGTGGGAAGAAGAGTGGCGACTGACGGCTGCGTCATGGACCTGCACGGCGAAGAGCGCGAACCTGCGTCATGGACCTGTGTCGTCCCCTCGGGTTACACTGCCACATCGTTGCGTGGCAGCTTGCCACGCATCTACGCCGCGTCCGCATCGTGGTCGCATGCCAGCCACACCATCGGGATTGGCGAGAGGATCCCCAACAGTTGGGAGATGAAGTACGTTGCGATGCCTGAGCATAGTCGCGAGCACCACTAACTCCATGAGTGTCCATGCATGCACATGAAGAGGACGCCGGACGCTGAATCGCGGGAGAGGTGTGTGGTGGCCGGTGACCAGTAGGGAGAAAGGTGGTGGTCGTTGGGTGGCGGCAGTAGGTAGAAGCCCGACAACGGCGCCTGGCGATGGGTGGGGAGAAGGCTGGCAGCTAACAAGAAGCTTGGCAGTGGCGAACGACAGGGAGAAGGGCACATGCGTCGAGGACGATGCGACCACAATGTGGTGCAGATGGAGTTGACCTCGAAGACAATGCGGCGGAACCGCGCGTGCTCCTCTGCGGACGAGAGGCGGAGCTCGGTGACACCTAAACACATCGGCTTTTGAACAGCTCCGAGGGCGACTATGAGCTTGAGGGATAGGAGCTTGGCCAGCGTGACGAGGCAGAAACCCTAGCACGCGCGCGTGCATGTGAAGACGACATTGCAGTTGTAGTTGGGACCCACGCTGCACCACTCGCCCACGCAAGTCCATGATGTGAGCGCTCCCGGCCGTCGAGCTTTTCCTCGCCGACCGACACCCTTCTCCCCACCCATTGGCGGATGCCTAGGAGGTTTGGGTTGAGATGGGAGTAGAGGGGGAGTGAGGTGGAAGAAGATTGCCAGTTGACTTGTGGGGTCCACGTGGGACTCAGCCACCACGTCAACAAAACCGAAAAACAATACTACCTTTGGTATCAAAAGTGATCCGGTTTTACAAGATTAGAGGGTTCAGGACCGTTTAAAACTCAACGATAAGGGGACATTAGATGAACTTTTTTTGGGTGATGAAAAAATTCCAGCTTCATGGGCCTGTGCATATGACCCATAGGGCTGGACGAAAAGCTCGTGGCTCGTGACCAGCTTGGCTCGACTGAACTCGGCTCGTTATGGTTTTGAAACAAGCCGAGCTGCAATTTCAACTTGTTAGGCATAACGAGCCAGCTCGAGCTGGCTCACGAGTTGCTCGCGAGGCTTAACAAGCTTACATGTAGAGATAAATCAAATTTTTTTCATTTTTAATTTTTTATTTTTTAATATTTACAGAAATATTGTGCCGGAGAAAATATTTACAGAAGTAGACCCTGCCGCCCTCGGGGAGAGCGACAGGGTGATGTGAGGGACGGACTACCCTCTTGCAGCCCTTGTAGAGAGCGGCAAGGGACTATTTGTGTAAATATTTTGGATGGTATAATATTTTTGTAAATATTTAAACAATAAAAAAGAAAAAAGAAAAAAAATCGAGATAAATCTGTAGGACTTCCATGGCCCATAAACAAAGGCCCCATGACAGCATGCGTCAATAGAAAAGTCTACCGAAGAGAAAAATATCGCTTCCCCTTCCTTGTCATCCATCTCCAAACTCCAATCCAGATCGAGTGGCCGTCCGCCGCTCCGCGCCTCCGCTCTGCTACCTGCGCCTGCGCGTCGTGCTCCCTGCGTCCATCCCTCGCCACGCCTTGCCGCACCAACAGCGCTCCCTGCACCTCCGCCTCCCTCCCCAATCCGTCCCATCTCCTCGCCCGCCGCCCTCGCCTGCCATCCTGCCAGCAGAGGTGGCGCCGCCGTTCTCCTGCTCCCGCTGCATTCGCTCACCGGTGAGCATCCTAATCCATCCCATCCGGCCTCGGCCTCGTCCTCGAATTTCGTCTCCTCGCCCGGCGTCCTCCTGCATCCACCGCATCATCGCTCGCCGGTGAGCATCCCTCCCTTCCCACACCTCATCAGGTGTTCTGCCCAGTTCCACCTACTTTCAACTTGTTAATTTTGATTTTTGTTTTTAGCGGATGTAATTTGGTTACTGAATCTCATCCAAACACCCTTAGAATAGTTGCATTAGAACGAAAAATGTAAGCTCACATCATTTGTACTCATCCAAACTCACATAATTTGTAATATTTATTAAGTATCAATAAGTAAAACGGATGATTTACCATGTGACAAATTAATTATTAAAATAAATTGTATTCATCCGTTGTAATGCACGGATATTTTTAAATGATTTACTAGCTGCTGCCATTAGGTAATCTTTCACATTTTTTTACTTACTATGAAATCCAAATCTCTGATTCTTTTCTTTTTACAATTAATGTTTGGTTCAAAACTTGCCCACTAGGTAATCTTTCACATTTTTTTACTTCTGAATCTCTGAATTTTTTTTTACCATTAATGTTTGGTTCAAAACTTGTGGGCTAAACTGAAGAGAGGTGTGCTGAGTGGAGGGAGGTAGCGAACTAGATTAGGACTAAAAAGGAATGAAAGAATGGACTTTAGGCCCAAAACTAAGGAAAAGAACTAAGGAAAATTTTCATTAACTTTTTTAATTAAACTGTATAGTGATCCTAATGTTTCAATTCATTACTTGATTCCTAATTACGGTGGTATCACTATGAAACATTTTTATCTGTTGCAATGCACGGATATTTTTTTTGGGAAATTTAACTATTTGCCACTTTTGGGATATGGCAATTAATGATTTGCCACTCGCTGTCTATGACATGTGGGCTCTCATTTGTCTATGACATGTGGGCCTAGTGGCAAATTGTTAAGCACCACTCGTAAGAGTGGCAAATAGTTAAAAGTCCCATTTTTTTTTCCTTAGTTGTAACTAAATCCTTCACCTGAAGGGAACGGGAGGAGAAGGCGAGGTTAGAGAATCCTAGACGTTCGTTGGTTCTTGGACGGTCTAGTTTCACCCCAACTGCTTAACCTGCAGTCGATGCAACGACTGCACCTGATCCAGGCGTTACACATTCTATCCGGTATCGCGTCGACGACCGCCACACTTGAGCCAGTGGTAGTTATGGCCGAGAAGAGCGTGGCCCCTTCCTCCTTCCTCCTTTGCCTCTCGTCGACGCTTCCCGGACTCCTCCTTCCACCGAAGCGCGCGCCACGCTCGCTACATGGCCGGCGTAGCGCGGAGTCCCATTAGGACTTGAGAGTGATTTCTTCTTTCTGAAATGATTTGGATTGGTTTCGTTTCTTCGGCGTAGCCCGGAGTCCCATTAGGACTTGAGTGATTTCTTCTTTCTGAAATGACTTGGATTGGTTTCGTTTCTTCCGTTGGTGATGAACTGTGGCTCCTTTGATTGGTTTCGTAGCTTTTTCTAGCATTTTATCTGTTGCGGGCAAAACCCCTTACCTCTCCCGTATAACCCATTAGTTTTTGAGTTTTTTTTTTGCGTGATAATAGAGAGCACTGATAGATATTACTCGAAACGAAACGCACTGGTGTGTACTAGCACTTTATTATTTCCAAAGAGTTTGATGGTTTCTTTGCCTACTTGCCTGGATCACGTTAGGTGCGATTTACCTTTAATAATTCAAAATAGATTGATCAGTATCTACGAACAAAAAAAGAAGATAGTAAAATGTTTATTGCACATTTACGATATGGTAGGATTCCAAGCACTGCTTGTTAGTTTGTTAGTTAATAGTAGTTTGTAATCATTTAGATGCCACAATTCAAAGCCTTTCTCAGTTACCCAGTGCATTTTGTACTAGTTTTAAGCAAAATGTTCTTGATCTCTGCGCAGTTGGGGATCCCACTGACTTGCTGATTGCAACTGTCAGTGTGGTGATTGGACTGCATCAGTTGTGGGAATTGAACTGGTCAAGTCTCAGACTAATACAATGCAAGGCATTTTTGCATGTGGTTCAATTTCCTCGGCCCATGGATCATGCTTTAGACCAGCTTGTCTTGCAGTGGATGATCTGAGGCTGTTTTACAAAATAAATTCAGTAACCTGTGGAGCGTACTCGTGGCGTTGGTGTGTGAAAAAACTACATATGAGGACCAATAGAAGGCAAATGGGTACTACGGTGAGAACTAATGCTAGATGGCTATTTGGAGGAGATGGCCGTAGCAGTAGTAATGCAAGGATGGAACGCAGTGAGTCTGCTAACGAAGACATCTTAATCTTCTACTTCCAATTGGACCTACAAACCCGGATACAGGTGAGTTGTTGCTTCCTTACCATCATTTTCTAAAGCGAATAAAGTTACCAATCCAGCCGGCAGCTATTCTTTTTTCACGGATCAATTCCCTAGACTAGTAGCAATCGGCTAACTAAATCTACTATCATGATCATTGCATCATTCTTAGTTGCTAGTCACTGGTTCATGCAACTGTTTGATACTTACCTATGCACGTCCAGCCTAACTATTGAATTTCTTGGTTCTTACTAGTATGCATTGAATATAGAGCAATTTGATGTGGCAAAACAATTGAGGGAAAAACTCACAGAGGTACCAAATGACTTCACTTGAAGATAAATGAATTCATTGTATGAGACTTGCTAAAGAAAATATCCTCCTCTAGATTGAAACAGTGATAATTAGGCAACGTGAAGCTAAAAGAGGCTCATCAAAGACTGAAGCTCAGGACAAAGCTATAAACCTTTTACGCGTGCGGTATGTTAATAGTTTCCATTTCTCCATGACGTTCTAGTGTTATGTAGCATTGGTTCATTTGAGAGGTCACTTAGCTTTATCCATTTGTTTCAGTGCGGATTTGCAAAAGGCCGTTGACAGTGAAAACTATGCTTTGGCAGCTGCACTGCGTGATGAAATTGCTAAACTTGAGGTACAGCAAAACTGTAGTGCACCGGCCATGTGATGGTAATGTGTAAATAACATATTAACTTCAAACATCATGTAGACAGAGTCTCTGGCAGTCTCCGCTAAGGCCCTTGCATATCAAAATGTGAAATATGCATTTCGACTAGGGCAGAAAGTACGCCATAAGGTACACGGTGAGTACTACTGCTATACTACCCACTTCGTATTATTGTTTACACATTATTTCTGAAGCTATCCAGAAAATGGATAACTACTACAAATTTCTTTTCAAACTTTATATAAGAAGTTAATTTTTCATAATTGTCATTATCCTTAAATGTAACATTTGCATGTGTTAAAGCACACTTTGTATCAAATATTAAACTTCAGTGAACATGCTTTAGTTTATCTTCTTAATTTTACATCACCTGCTGAAGGATATAGAGCTGTGATTTGTGGCATGGATCATGTGTGCTGTGAATCCAAGTCATGGATGGAGACAGCAAATGTGGAAAACTTGTCCAAAGGACCGAATCAACCTTTTTATCAAGTAAATGCTGCTTGACTTATTCCAATTTAAGTAGTTCCTCAATGCCCATAGTTCATAGAAATATCATTTCCTTCATGTAGCATCAGTTGTGACTTGTTTATCATGGATGGCGATTATGTGTAATAATACCTACCTGTTCTTGTTCTTAATTTGCAAACTCACTTGTGGAATTGAGATGGTGATATTCATCATTGCCTTTTTCTCCTCCCTTTTGGATTTGTTCGGTATAATCAGGACGTTCATGATGCAATTTTATTAGCCTGCGATTGACTGTTTCTCTATGCAACTAATGCTTACTTTTGGATGATATTGCCCATGCATACTGATGTGTTTGCATAGTTTAGTCTTTTGAGAATTGAGATGCTTAGTGATCCTCTGTGATTCATTGCCGAAATCTTGCAGGTCCTTGTTGATGTATATGCTGATCCAGAACTCCTTGTTGCATATGGTATTGATTTTTCTTTTCCACTGTTTACACTTAGTTTATGAGGCAGTTGACTTTGAGCTATATTTTCACATAAAACATTTATTTCCATATGCTAACTCAGATTTATTACGACTTTATCTTTAGTTATGCTGTTATTAAAGAAGCCTCATCAGGCTATTGTTCAGAAAAATCACCAGAGACAGCTCACTATATTTTTACTCGACCTGAAAAATATAAACTAGCAGGTTCTCTACTCAGTTTATAAATTACCTTTGCTCAGTGAAAATGAACAACTATGTGCTGATTCTCATGTCAAAATAATTCCACTATTTTGATAGACATGACCACTGGTGGAAATTCTATCTTGAGATCTGTAACTTTTAATGAGCAATCTTGTTTTGTGTAAAATGGCAGAAGAAGGCAAGATAGTAGGCTAATTCAGTAGTCAAATGATCAAATCCATCTTCACTTACTGTTTTATGTCTATGATGTGCCATTTTGAGACATGTTATGTCTGTATAATTTCAGTTGCAGAAGAAAATCTTGCAGAGGCTGAAATACCAGAGAAAGTGAGTTTGAGTTCTTCATTTGCTTGGTGGTTTTCATTTTTGGTCAAATTGAACTAATGCTGTCCGCCTGTCCCCCTTTATTTACAGGGAAGATTTGATCACCCCTATATTGAATTTCTGTTTTTTGGCGAGGACACTGCTGGGGACTTCATTCCTATCAAGCAGCTTCGTGAGAAGTATGATCAGCCACGTTATGAAGCTTCTGGGGATGAAGATGACGATGATGGCAGCACGGATAGCTGAAAGGTGAGTTTTTCACTTATAATGAGGCGTTCGTGTAATTGGCAAGTGGACCACAAAATTAATATTATCTGTCCCTGCGTGATACATTCAGGTAGGCAGCAAGAGTTGTTTTGATGCCATTTCCGATGCCTTACCACCGACTGAGTTCCGAAATGGTGGAGGAGCTTGACAGCTTGTTACTATCTGATGTAACTACAGCGGGCTAATGTCAGTGAAGACTGGTGACTGGGCTAACCTGGAACCTGAACAATCCACAGCAATCTGCAATGAGGCAATCTGCATTTGATATATTGATATCTGACCTTGCAGATTCACGATTGAGGATAACACCCATATAGTGGCCAATCCATGAAGCCCTTTACATATACGGTTCTAAAGAAGATCCTTGTGGATTTGCAGTCTGTACTTCCCCAAGTTCTTCTGTAACTGTGTTCCCTCTGATGGGAATTTTGTAGATAAGCTGCATTCATCAAACCTGCAACTCTGCAGCTGCAGAGAAAGCAAAGGGTTGACGTACATCTATTGGAAAGTTGGAATATACTTACGTGGAAAACTGCAAACCACAGAATTTTTGACGCTCGGGGAAAATAACCAAAAAAAAAAAAAAGCTTCGGGAGTGTTGGTGTTGCTGATGTTGAAATGCCGCTCTCTAGAACTCTGCCGTGCCTGAGAAGAAGGGAGCAGGGGCGGATGCAATGTAATTCATGGGTATTCACCTGAATACCCATAGAATTTTCCAAAAAAATAATTATATATAGGTATGTGATGCATATATATATATATATACAATCATACATAATAAGTGTAGTATGTGCAGCCCAAAGGAAGAAAAGCCCACTTATCAGTAGCAGCCAGCCCGTAGATTCCCTCTCCCTCACCACCTTGGCCCAGCAAATAGGTCCATTGGCCCGAAACGGGAGTAAACCCTAATCAAAATCAATCCCCAATCCCAGTCAGCCAGAGGACCAGACGCAAGGGCGGCGCTGCTGCCTTCTGCACGCTGCGGCTGCGACGGCCGACGGCGACGGGCGAGGGGCGCTCGCTGCTTGGGCGCCTGGGTGGTCGGCGTGACGCCGCCGAGCCGAGGTCGCCAAGACGCCATCGCCGACACCGAGGCTGCCGGCCGCAGCGCCGCCGAGCAGCCGAGGTCGCGAACTCGCGAGGCGTCGACGGCATTTGCCGATTTGCGGCGTTGGCGGCGAGCCGGCGACGGCGCGATGGCGTTCAGGCATTGGCGGCTGGTCTGCTACTGCTACCCGTGCTGCTGCCTGCTAGCCCGTGGTAAGATTTCTAAACACGGAGTTGCTTCTTTGCATGGCATCCTTCAATCCTATCGATTCATTTGCTGCTTATAACAAGGAAAACTTGGTTAGCTTGCTCAGTTTTATCCAAAGGACTTCACAGAAACAGAGTTGTTACATCTTCCCTTTCAGCTTACTCTCTTTATCAATTTTGTTCGTAAAGATGAAAGGTTTAAAAATGTGAAAAATCTGGTTGAGCTTTCCACCATGCTTGTTGCAACAAAGAAGCACACCGCTTATGAATTTGTTTACAAGCTTCTCAAATTGGTCTTAATTCTTCCTGTGGCAACTGCTAGTGTAGAGAGGGTGTTTTCTTCCATGAATTATGTCAAGAACAAGCTAAGAAATAGAATGGGAGAACAATATTTGAATGTTGTTTAGTAACCTTTCTGGAGCGTGATCTTTTTGTGCAAGTAACAGATGATGACATCATTTCTCGCTTCCAAGCCATGGCTACCCGCAAAGTTAAATTGTAATTTGTTTCAGTTTTCATGTAATTCATTCAAACCATTTTATAATTTAGACATTTTTACCATTGTGCTACTGTTTGTACCTTTAAACATGTCATTATCAGTTTACTACTATATTGTTATGCTAGTATTTGTACTTTAAATTTTGCCACTCCAACCTTTTGAGCTCTATAAGAATTTTTTTTCAACTTTGAATACCCTTTGTTGAAATCCTGGATCCGCCACTGGAAGGGAGTGCAAAGACGTCGTAGAATCCCCACTTGCACGACCGACTGGCCAAGTCGTCGTGACAAGGACAACCTTCTCACGTTTGAAGCGCCGGATATCGTCAGGATGCCATGCTTTTACATGGAGTATAGTGCTTGCACAGCTACTAGGCTACTACTGGGTTGGGAACCCATCCCCTCCGCACGAAAAACGGAGCAGTCTATTAGCACGTGATTAATTAAGTATTAGCTATTTTTTTTAAAAAAATAGATTAATTTGATTTTTTAAAGCAACTTTCGTAAAGAAACTTTTTGTAAAAAAACGTACCGTTTAGCATTTCGAAAAGCGTGCGCGCGGAAAACGAGGGAGAAAGGTTGGGAACCTTGAGGTTAGAACGCAGCAGATTCCGTTGTTTTATACTACTACTTTTTTTGTCAAAAAAAATCAACCTAGTAATAAGGCTGTGTTTAGTTCACACCAAAATTAGAAGTTTAGTTGAAATTGGAATAATGTGATGGAAAAGTTGGAAGTTTGTGTGTGTAGAAAAGTTTTTGATGTGATGAAAAAGTTAAAAGTTTGAAGAAAAACTTTAGAACTAAAACTTTAGAACTAAACATGCCTAAGATGAGTTGCTTTTTCTAAGAACAGAGGGAGTAGTTGCTTCCTAATCTGTACATGGGGATAGGGGTATAGTGGCCAACCTGTGAACTTATTTATATAAGTTAAATAAAACAGGTTACTGGTTTATTTTAGCTTAAGAGTTAATAGCAGGCTGTAAGCCGACTAAATACTGAGGTGGAGGAGAGAAGAGAGGAGAAGCGGGCTGTAAACTTACAGCTGGCTTGGACATAAGAACCAAGAAACTCTATGAGAGAGACAAATGGGCCATGTATTAATTGTAAACAGCTAACTATTATATGAGTGGGCGGGCTAAGAGAAGGCTGCAAAGAGCCTTACAGTCAACAAGTAGGCTATACTATATATTAATATACAATAACATAGTGTATTACTGTAATTACTTGATATCGTTACTGCAACGATATATATAGTAAGAAAAAAAGTACAATAACATGGAGAGAGGGGAATTGGCTCGCTTTACTCGTGGGGCAAGGGTAGAACGAACCTTCAAAGATTGGTCTTTTGAAATTCAACTCTCCACAAGTAATAATACTATATCATAAGTGTTACTACTGCCTGCTGTACGTTACTACAATCTCATCACGATGTTACTGTGAAAGTGTGGTAAATACTATAAGTTTTGCAGTAACAAAGCATCTTACTGTAATTCTTGAATAGTGTTACTACACAAACTTTGTGGTAACGTATACCTGCCATGCAGTAACAATTACACTTTTGTGCAGTAACAAGTATATGGTTAGCATGTATACTTTTAACCCATATATTTTTGTTTCGATTCCTAGTTTACTATAATTTCACCATGATATTACTATCAAAAGTACAATAACGTCCTATATATTTTGTAGTAACATATGCTTTCACAATAAACAAAAATTCGAATAGAGGGCGTGTTGGGTGGGTGAGGGGAGAGAGGTAAACCATCAAGTAAATCTCTATGGAATCGTTAAGCAGAAGTAACATTAATCTTGTGAAAATTGTGTAGTAACAATAGTTCTTACATGACGTAACAACCTGTGTGTTTTGTAGTAACCAAGCATGTTACTATAATTCCGTATGTAACAGAATTGATTTGCATCTTTGATAGTGCTAGAATAAATCTACCATAGGTTATTCTTGGTCAATCCCCTATGCGGACACAACGCTCAACTAGTTAAAATTGTGTAGTGACACTAGTGCTAGAGAGCAGTAACGGTCTATGTGTTTTCCAGTAACCGAGCGTGTTACTAGAATTAATCTATCATAGTGTTACTGCATAAACATGTGGTAACGTGTACCTGCCATGTAGTAACACTTCTACTTTGTGCGGTAACAAGTATATTTAGCATGTGAGACTTTTAACCCATATTTTTCTTTTGATTTCTGATTTACTACAATTTCATCACGATGTTACTGCCAAAGGTGCAATAACGTTCTATATGTTCTATAGTAACAAAGTGTTTTACTACAGTTCTTGGATAGTGTTACCGCATAAACATGCGGTAATGTGTAAATGTCAGGTGGTAACGTGTATATGCTGTGCAGTAATACTTTTACTTTTGTGCAGTAAGAAGTATATGATTAGCATCTGAGACTTTGAACCCATATATTTTTATTTCAATTCCTGATTTACTGCAATTCACCACAATATTACTATTAAAAGTGCAGTAACGTCATATACATGCATGCAGTAACACTATATTGGAGGGAGAAAACCGGTTTTCTTGAGAAGAGGGAGGAATAACGGTTTCTTGAGGAGAGGAGTATGTAGATACATTTTGAAGTTTAAACCTCCACATGCAGTAAAACTATAGTATCATTGTGAAAACGGTTTTAAAAAATAATACATATCTTATGAGATATTGCTTTTCAAAAATTGGCATTTTGAACTTTAATCCTCCACATGCAGTAACAGAATGTGTACCTTGCAATAACAAGGACATATACATGCAGTAACATGGTTTTACCAAATGTATAAAATTATTCAAAACACTCATACATCAATCAGACCTCGCTCAAAGCCACCTACAGACTTTACATATAGCCCACCTATTCGATCTTCATCTCGTAAAAATGACATAGTAAAACTACAATTGTCGTGCAGTAACATAGTTACTTGAAAGTGGTAACATGCACCTATCATGTAGTAACACTTCTATTTTTGTGCAGTAACAAGTATATGGTTAGTATGTGAGGCTTTAACCCAGCAATACTAGTCACTTGGCTGTAATAAGAACCTATATATTTGTAGTAACCGGACGCGCTACTATATTTCGTGATGTATGAGAAGATAAGTTTTACTAAGAAAACTCTATCACAACTAAGAAATAGCCTATTGGTTAGTGCCATGTGTTAATTTGAGTTGAAGGTCTTGAGTTCTATTCCCATTGAAGGCAAATTTTTCCTTTATTTTTTTTCTCTCAAAAAAGGAGGGAGGAGGAGTGAGCGCTCCGGGGGTGGGGGGGAGGAGGAATCGCGAGGAGCACTCGGGTGGGGAGGGGGAGGCGCGTGGGGTGGGGGGAAATTGGGAGGGGAGGGGGGTATAGAATAGTCTAACTATATATATATATAGGGAGCGTATCCTATGCACACATGCCCTCGCGTGTACACACCGTGTACACCAACTAAAAATTATCACAAAAAATTCTAGGAAAATTCATACATGTACTTTCAATAGTATTACATCTACGTGCAAAGTCGCATCTTCAAATTCATTCTACATAGAGAATAACAAAAAAGATAAAATTCTGACAAAATTGCAACCTTAAAACTGTCAGTTTTTTTGTTTTTTTGTTACGGCTAAAATATAATGAATTTGACGTTAAGATTTTAACCCTGGGTGTAATACAATTGAAAGTATATGTATGATTTTTTCTAGATTTTTTGGTGACATTTTTTAGTTGGTGTGCACGTGTGTACACGTGAGGGCCTGTGTGCATAGGATATGTTGCCATATATATATGTATGTATATATATGTTTGT